TGGGTACAACAGAGGGGTTGGCGAGAGGCACAATATATCTGTTGGTTGTACACTTGAGTGTATCCCGTCTATTAATCAACCAACCAATAGTGAAAGGCCAACTATGCATCCAATCCTGCGTTTCAAAACAAATCCACCGATTCGTCAACAACGGCCACATCAACGGCGATGCATATATAAATGCATCAAAATTCCAGTTCACCGCGTTTTAATGTAAACAAGTAATTTGATGTCTTTGACATGCAGCACACAAGCTGTTTTGCCCACAAACATGTTTTGTTTTTTTCAATCCCACTACTATGTATATCTTAATATCAACAGGATTCAACACGTTTGAACAGGGAGTGAAACCCACTACCGCAACAGTTTGGATGCCAACCTCAAACTTTCCGGACATCAGGGCGGGATGAATAGCAAGGGCCACGCACTCTGGATCTCCTAACCAGTAGACATACGTAAACATGAAATTGTGATGATTCGTGCATATGTCGTTCTTTGTTTTTCAGAAGTCCCACTACTGACAATCATATCTGGAAATTCACTGGTCAACACGCTTGGACAATGTCCCAAACATGACTGGTGAGACTGGAAGATTTACCTACATTAACCCCCTGAAATCAACCATCCCAGGACTGATCGCTAAATATGCCAGCACCTACTGAACCTACTGCACGGAATCAAACAAAATCAGGTGACGTCGGGAATTTCAGCGGTGATCAATCACGGCTACGTGGATGGCATGGCCCCGATTTCGGATGCCCATCTGGCGAATACCAAACGAACGTGGTTTTCCATCACTTTCCACTTCCATCAGAAGAGTGTTCTGGATGAACTGCGTGCAAAAGGTATGCTCTAGTGAGGACATCCCACTCCAGTTTGCGACCAAAGAGATTGAATGGCCCAAACCATGCATGGAATAGTTTCATAATGACCAACATTTACCCTGTTGATGGGCCTCAAGGCCAAATGTAGGTGACTATTCCCGATTCCTTACATGATGGTCCACAAAAACTGATTATATATATGATTATTCTGAACGTCACTGGTGCACTCAAGCACTTAGATTCATTGCATTTCATTTTGGGGAAAACATGTTGGCACAAAAACATCACCAGAGGTGCCAAAGTAAAAATTGTCCACGACGCCAGCGACCTGTGGCCAACGAAATGGATGTGGACAGAGATACACTGTGCAATGTAAAATGACGGGGGTTCACCAACCCGCCCCAGGATCTATCGCTTCGCTTCGATTCAGTACCACCATCACCCGTCGCCTCTTTAGGTAGGCCTTCACCAGGTCTTCCCAGCCCTTTGGATGCGAAAAGGATACGAAAAAGGATGAGCAGGTCATGCGCCAATTCACACATCAAATCAGTAGGTCATTGGAGGTCCGAAAGCGATGCATATAAACAAACTTGCAAAAACCAAAGGCACATGAAAAAAGATCGCCTTGCCAGCTTCAGAAACAAACGACTGAGCGGACTGTCTACAGATCCCTTGGTTTTGGGGGACCAAGGGGAAAAGTACCTAATAAACCATGTGATCAAAGGCGGCTTTAACTCGCCAAGGAGTCTCCAGGCCGTGAAGGTACATGGGCGACTACAGATTTGGCACGTCCAAAACGGTTTTTTCCCCTCAGAACACTGTGGCAACATGACAAGAATCTGGGGTTTGAGCCCGATTTCTTGATTAGTTAAAAAATGCCCTGCCTAAAAAACAGCTGCTTATTTTACAAGACCGTGAGCACATGACACTCAAAACAGCTCACATATTTCTCGCAATTGCGGAAGTCTCACAGCTGTCATTGAACCGTTTCCCCCACTGGAGAGACATCTTCAAAGCCACAAAATCAACAACACAGACTTGTCGCCTCTGGAGGGATCATCGGCCAAGTTGCTAAAGAGGGGACGCGAGAGAACCAAGCAAGCGCATTGCTCCGTGATCCGGACTTGGCGAAAACTCACGCAGGCTGTGTTACAAATTGATTATTGCAAAAGCTCCAGACCAAGGCAAGTTCAATTCCTTCATTATCGAAAAATCAGGCATCCTTTGCCACCTACACACTCGTTCCAGAGTGCAAAAGCGACAACGCTACCGAGCGTCTCAGCTTCAACCTCGCCCAAACTCTGCCTATGGTTCGTGCTCAACAAGCTCGAATGTGGTCGGTTAAACAGTAGTCCTCCTACGCCAGAAACATACAAAGAAACGAGTGCACACTCCTAGCCTAGTCGCATCGAAAGGCAGCACAAGACCCTGGAAGTTCTGCGAATCTCTCCTGCCTTCTTCACACAACTTTTGAAGTCAAAGGTACGTGTTTCCAGCCTGGACGAAATCTGCGTGGCTCTCACACCGCTCGAACCAACAAGCTACCAAAGCCGCAGCTATATCAAGCGTCTGAAAGACAGGGGTTTCATATATGGTTGCTGTGTCGTTGACAGTAGAGGCCGCAAAATCAAGCAATTGTTCTTCTGCCGTAGCCCAAACCTACGCGAGATCGCAGCTGAAGACGGAACCCCAGGAAGTGGGCCTCTCACCCACCCTTCTCTACTTCTTATAATGCTCAATGTCTGTCTCCAGACTTCAGCGTCTATTTCCTCATCACCTGAAGATTGAACTCACTCTCTGACTGGTGCATTCCCAGCGAGGATTGCTGAGCGAGCATGTCTTCTGTTAACAGCGGCGGCGCGAATATTAGCTTTCCCCCGTCAGCATCGCTCCATGTTCAAGCTCTTCACAAACACTCATGCCCGGAAAGGCAGTTTCCTTTAATAGCTCAGCCGCTTTCTGTGATGCGCCACGAGTGGATCCATCCTACTTTTAAGCATGGCTTCCGCTTCTTTCAGCTCTTCACGTGCCAACCATTTTTTGAAGAACAGCGTGCCCACGTGCTTATTTGCTTTATAAACTATGTCAGGCCAAGTCTCGTGATCATCCTGCCAAACAGTCACGTTCCAAAACAATGAGTTCCTGGGGTTCTCCACCATACACAACTTGTTTAACAAAGAGCGTTGGTGGAAAATGTCTGCAGTGAAGGCAGGTAATTGGATTCTTTGAGCCCTTCAATGCCATCAGGCATCTTTTCAAGCGTTCTCAAAGGCCATGGCGCTCCCATGTCACCTGAGTTCGGAATGGAACAAGCCATGCTTGCGGTTCCGCAAGGAGGGGCCACGAACACTCCAGGAACCTCGCGCTTCAACACCTTGGCGATTTCGAGAGGGATTATATTTACGGTTACTCTGCCTTTTAGGCTTGAAGTCACACCCGCTGCGCCGCAAAAGATCTCCAAGATCACGGCCTCACATGCATTGATACAATCACTCAAGTATGGACATGATGGATGCATCGAATCAACCCTGACATCTACCCTTGGCAGGCATTTCCGAGGCATGTTCTTTCTGCTACGCGTGCGATTTGAAGCTGTTGGCCTTGAAAGACACCTTTCTAGCATGTTCCACCTGCTGGCACCTTCTGGCACTGGCTGACGTTGTAGTCAAAACAGATTGGTCTCTGTCATTGTCCCTTCCAACACAACCAACCGTTTCTTTTGGCGCAACGCTGGAGCCTGCATTCTTCTTACCCTTGCCGTTGCCTTTACCTTTCTTGCCTTTGCCTTTGCGATCATGCCACTCATATGAGAATGCGCTGGCGTCATTCTTGGTTCGCCAAGCACTCAGTGCATGTGTAGGCTCTTGGGCAAGGGGACTAAACGGAGTGCAGTGTTGTAGTCTTCAAGGCTTTATCCAAGGCACTGCCAGGGGTCGGACGGCAGTTGGATCAGGTCGAACACATTCTGAATGAGAAACAAAATACTTCATGGTCAGCTCTGAGAACCTGTGATAGCGATGTTGCCTGGTGGGATGGCGGACGTGAGTCGTGCAATGTACACTTCGCAGGATGTAAAGGCGATGAAGTTTGCAGACTCTCACGCAATGGTTGCAAACACTGGTGAAGATTAAATATTTACATGGAACTCTAGTGTCCTCATCAGGCACACTCTTGGTCTGTCTGACTGCAAGGGGGGGTTGGCATCAAGCTTCAGCTTCTTCTCCGCGCGACCTGACAGCATTTGCCAGGCTCTGTGTGAGTCAGGGTCTGCGAGTCGAACTGATGACATGCTTCATCAAAGTGCATGCTTGGCACGGTTCATTCTGTCCTTTCAAGATTCAAGCCTGGCAAATCCTGGCAACATGGTTTCCAATTGTGACGTTCGGCACTTCTTTCAGCGATGTCTTTCTCTGGAATTGAATGCTCCACTGCCGCGTTGAGCTGTGAGGATCACCTCTGCTTCGAAGTGCAACCTTCGAACTGTTGCCATCTCCTTCACGGCCGTCAGATGTGCTCTGTATGCTGTCCTCCTGCGGTACTTCCATGGCTGCAATCCTCATTCCCATCTTCCAGCCTCATACTCATGCTTTTGCTTTGTCTCTTCTGCATCCCAAGGCAATGGGGAGAAGAGTGCCTTCTCTCCATCATTCGGCATGAGTCATGAGCTCAACATTTGGTGTCATCTGTTGTTCTTCAAGTTGCAAATGCGTTTGTGTCATAGGGTGAAGTGATGCAGGTCCTGTGTGTGTATGTTCACCTGACCGCAACTCAAATCCCTGGAGTACAAGGCAGCCGAACACTTGACCGGTGAAATGTGCCGCGCCAACGCTGCCATGCAGTGAAGTAGCTTTGATCACAAACTTACTGCACCAGCTCATTGCTGTTGACCTCATAGAGGGTCTAGAAGTCCTCCGCAAGTCGTCTTGGCAACCTTGGACTGTGGCAGCTGTAGAGGCATTTTTTTGCAGTATTGGCTTCTGCCCTTCGGCCTCCTTCTTGCAGATGACGATACCAAACCCGTCACTTGCAGAACCAGCATCGTCAGGAACCATGCTCGACTCAACAGGATCATCTGTAGTGAGGTCAATGCAAAGTGAAGCAGCTTTGCTACTTGCTGAGCCAATTGCACTCCATCTGCGCCTAAACCAACGTTCGATGATGGCCGGACTGGATTCACTGAACTCACTTCGTGTGGCGAAGTTCGTAGCATGAATGGTGCCTGTGACCTGGTGCGCGGGTACAGGCTGAACTGCGCCACCTTTAAGCCTGGTTCCATCTGAGGTACCTTGGTTGTTATCAATCACAGTAAAATGACCCAATTTCTGACTCCCGATCACGGGCCTCTTGACTGTTGATGCGATCGCAAATCAACCCCCACAACAATTGGACCAGGTCAAGGAGCTGTTCTGTGGTGCATTTCTCAAAATCTCCAGCCTTCCAATCCCCCATGGCTTCAAACAAACAAAAGCGGTGCTCCCGCCCACCCGCCCTGAACCAATGGCAAAGGGCACACTTGTCCTCATCACGATTCGACTTCTTGATAATAAACAGTCTTGCTTTGTCTAAAAGACAGCTGCAAATTTTGGTGAAAACCAACCCAACTCAACTGGTCTTGCTTGTTCTTAGACCCAGACCCAACTGGTCAACTGGGGTGTTTGAGGCCGATTATGAACCAACCCAGAAACCAACTGGTCATTCTGATCCAACGGCGGCCCAGAAGCCGGACCCTTCTCCGGTCTCTCTACGGGCCTGGCGCAGCTCATCCGAGACTTTGTGCGCGGGGCCATAGCCTGGCCTCGGCGGCAGCGACGCGGGACGCTGTACATGAATCGCTGTGGGTCTTGAACCACCGCGGGGCACCGAGCGTGACCGTTTTCTGTGACCGTGGGGCACATACCACCGGGGGCACCTTACGTTCTGTTTTGTTTTCCGAAGATGAACAGAATGGAGTTGCTATAGTAATAGACATGTCAACCCTCCAAGGTTTCGGCTCCAGGTTTTGACCCATCATGTGTTGAACCATAGGTTTTAGTCAGGAAAAAACAACTGGAGGTGGTGTCGTACTCATGTATGGCTTCGCCCTTATGGAGGGCGGTTGTCTAGACGGTTTAAGGATGTTTAAGGGTCAATGTAGCGAGGTACATATATTCCATACATGGATTCTTGGGGTTTTAAGTGTTGCTCAACCAAGTGTCCAGCTCTCTTGGTGTCTTCGTCCGTGAATGCCGGTGCATGTGGACGACGCGTAAAGGTCGTGGACTTCTTGATCCATCATCGGTTGAGCAAACCGCCAACAGTCGCTCAGAAAAGACATGAGTGTGAATTTGTGAATTTGGATGAAGAAATGGGACCAATCCATCTTTGATGGCCGATTCATCCAATTGGTTCATCTCATACGATCTCGAGGGGCTTTATCAATCAGTCGTTAAAGCAACATTTGATACATGAATGGAACAGTCGTCATTCACCTGGAGCTGCATCCTGGGTTTATGGGTTGATCACATTGATCACAACAAAGGTGGTGACAAGCAAGGTCTTGATACCCAATCATAAAAGACTTATCCTAAACTGTTTGTTTGTCAAAGAAAAACAACAATCAATTCAATGACAATCAAACACCAAAGACTCTTTGTCCAAATCCCAACTGGTGCAATCGCACGCGCAAACCCACAGCTCACACCCTCTTTTGGCGCTTTGCTTTGCTTTGGCTTTGCTTCGCTTCCGCCCAGCACGCCCGGCGCCTTCCAATCGTGCTGGACCTGAGTGAAGGTAGCGCACTGCGATACGCCAAACCAATTCAGATCAATGCAAACGATGTGACGAACGAACCAGGGCGAAGTGATACTAGGATAGTGCCCTAGGGCTCCTGGCCCATATCCTCAGGTTCGGTGGTTAGACCCCCCTGGCACCCACCCCAGTCACCTTCTGAGAAGGTAGTTGGAGCCGTAGGGGTGGTAACTGGATCCAGCCGGTCAAGTCGATCTCGACTACCGGGGGCAACCCTCTACTCCCTTAAACACGTGACATGCGACTACTACATGAGTTCGGCCTGGTCGCTTCGTTATTTTCGTCACCAGGTCACATCTGAATGGAACAGAATGGAACAGTGGCTGCGGGTCGAAACCTCACCCGACGAACCTTAGGAGGTTTCCATCAACATGCTGCTGCTGTTCACGGGTTGATTACAGGGTTCAGAGTTTTGATCCACAGCCATGTGAAAACCCACCTTGAGTCCTTTCATGGTGTAGTTGACTAGCAATTTGAGCAACGCAAGGCATCAAACCTGTGACCATATTTTTCAACTCAGTGGTGTACAAGCTCAGTCTCCTTGTGGAGCGGACGCTTCATCCAAGGAAAACCCACCTGACCTTCATCCCTGGATGTCATGCAGGTGGAACTGCTGTAGCTGTCTGCTGCCGAGATTGTGCTTCTGGCTGCCAAAGCCCGAGTGACATGGGTGCAATGAGCTGTTACTGCATGAGTGGCTGGGCGACTTCGAACTGACTCTAGACCCCTGGCAGGACTAGCGCATCCACTGAGTGTTGCATCTGAGGCTGGGCATTGAAGTCAGCGTAGTCAAAGAGTCAACTGGTAATCGGCAGCAGCATTTCGCTGCCTTAAGCAGTGCTTTGGCCATTCTTCAGCCCTGTCCACGTGATAGTCAATCCATGGAAATCCTCTTGTCTCTCGCTTGATTCTGGCTGGCCACGCTGGCCATGTACTAAGACTAGGCTGCAAGCAATCTACACTGGGGAAGATTAACATGGAACCTGATGGCATGGCCTGGACCTTTGCAAGATTGTTCTTCTCTACAACCGGCTCTGAAGGTCCATGTGGGTCTCTTCCAAACCGTCGTGCCACAGCACGTCCGATGAGTCAAGCAGTGCCGACAGTTTTGGCACACACAAGAGGTCGGGGCTGCTCCGACAGTGTTGCTCGCAATTCCATAGCAACCCTTCCAATGCTGTCCGTTTTGTCAGGTGCACGTAAACTGTCCTTTGTCTTTCTGCGCAACTCCCGCTTTGGTCATGTGCTCATGCAACTCGATGAAAAATGGTCCTTCTTTGAGCATCTTTGCCATGGTTACCCATGCCATTCGAAGCGGTCATCTGCCAGCTCTGCAGCAATGATTGTCTATTTCTTGCTCGGTTTGTCTATCCGGAGATTGAATCCACTTGCACTTCCTCCTGCTGCCCGTGTTTGTCTTGATTGCCACCTGTAGTAGGATACATGTTGCAAGGAAGAATATATAATTTGCTTTTTTGCGTCAATACTGTTTTGAAGAATCATTGACATGTTGATCAATGCCTGAAACTGTAACTGCCAATTCTGAGACTACTACATGTATATTATTACTAATATACAAGTGAACTTTTACATCAAAACCATTCTTATGAACAAAACAAACTAACACACAAGCGACAATCAAGTCTTGCGGCAACCTCACCAAACCTGATACTGCTCATCCCAACATAAACGGAAACATTGCCGAGCGTCAAGTCAAGGAATCTATCGCATCCTCCTGTCGATGGTCAAAAAGGAACGGTCAAACCAATTTGATGAAAGAACGGTGAGGTGAGGCAAACCCACGATGGCGGACTGTAGCACACCAAGACTGTCAGCTTGGGAAAACAAGGGAGAAGCAAGTCCAAAGGCATCTGAGCGGAAGGATAGTTCCACTGACGAACACGCGTTTGTGGATTGTCTGAGGCATTTTGTTGTTGTCCCTCTGTTCGTCAACTCGAGACATGTCAATCATGCCGCCTTTGGAGCTTGAACTAGGCCACTAGGCTACAAATCCTGACCCGGTAGCCACATGTATGGGCTGAATCAGCTGCGTGCTGCCATCAAGCCCCCGCTAAAGAGATCACAACAAACCCACACACCCCGTGTGGGACAAGGATTTCTAAATGCTTCAGGAGTGGTTGATTTCAGGGGTCAATGCCAATGCAGGATTTTGGCACCATGCATTCATGGCCCCCACACTGGGAGTTCAAAACAATCTCAGAACCATGGAAGATCTACAAACAACCATGGTGTATTCACATCCGAAAGCTAATTTTGTAGGTCTCCAATACTTCATTGGAGCCCTTGAACCGCATTCCAAACACGTTCTCAGAGTGTGCTTGGCGCCCCTGGGTATGGGTTTCCTGTAGATGTTCCTTTAAACTCCTTTAAGCTGTAGCAACCGATTCAGAGCATCCTTGGGGCCAACAGGGCCGTCCTGGATGGAGAGGTTCTCCAAGAGTTCGGAGTCGCTTTCCGCAGCCCAACATTCCTGGCGGATGCCCAAAGAAGATCTTGAAGATTATTGGACAAGGATGCCGTGGGTCAATCTATATAGTGTGTTTTTTGAAATAAAACCACGCCACCAAGAACACAAAAGTCGTCGGGGAAACATATCCGGTGTTTTTTCAAACATCACACCAGCAAGAACACCCGACTGCAAAGGTGCTTCCTGGTGACAACAGGTACCCAGAAACCACCTGTTAGGGTCTCCAAACAGCCTGTTGGAGGGTCCTGGTATAAGGATTGTCTTCTGTCTCCTTCATGAAGAAACAGGATGTCAACAAATTGTCTGCTACTAGACATGTCTTTCTTGAGGGACCCCCTCGCGGACGACCCCCTATGCCTTTTGCTTTCGCATCGCTCCCTTCACTCTTTGACCCATATGGTGGGACCCAACGATCCATTCTGCTTCAACGACCCCTCGACCCCACGATTCCAAGGGTGTCACAACGACCGGAAAAAACGTAAGGCAGCAGCCAGTGGACCAAGGGAACGAACACAACCCCGCAAACTATACCCTGGAAAACGATCCCATGGACCCTGAAAACCACTGGTTGGTAGAGGAAAACACTTTTCCAGGGGGCCATTCTCAGGGTCCATGTTAGTTTTCGGGAGTGTATCTTGTTTCACAGCTGTACCAAACTAAAAGAACCCACTCCCAGATGCTCCATGGGACTCCCATATTTGCCTACATTGGTGTGGTTTGGGGGTTCAATGTAGGCATATATTCCATACATGGAGTGTATGGGACTAGTACCAATTCAGAGTAGACGGCACAAGCTCCAAGGGTTCTTTAGCACCGACCAAGTTCTCTTAGTGGTCAAGAGGAATGCATGCGGCTTAGACACTTTTTTCCACCTCATCCGTTCCACGTCTGCGGAAATTCCGTTTCGCCGGTTATGCCTCGTTGAGCATCTCTTGAAGAAGATGTGTCCTGGAGAACATCGCACAAACCCTTTCCAGCCACCGCTGCGGAGGACCGGGGAATGTGACCAGGCTCATCGGGACGTGTCTTTATCTTGTTGGAGGAATTTCTTAAAGCTTGAGTAGGGACAATTGGCACAAAGAGTTCACCCTCCGTAAAATATTTATATAGTTTAGTAGGTACTTCTTGGCGGGATACATTCTTTGGTAATGGTATGGTGATGATGATGATGATGATGATGATGACTATGATGACTATGGTGGTGGTGGTGGTGGTGGTGGTGGTGGTGGTGGTGGTGGTGGTGGTGGTGGTGGTGGTGGTGGTGGTGGTGGTGGTGGTGGTGGTGGTGGTGGTGGTGGTGGTGGTGGTGGTGGTGGTGGTGGTGATTACGTTAATATCTCTCGCTCCCATCACCCTTATCAGCAACAACATCATCACCATCAGAATCATATCCATCATACCCTCACCATCATCGTCACCCCATCATGCATTCTATCATCATCGTCTTCAACATCATGATCTTTGACACCATCATAAGCGATGAACAAACGGTGATGATGATGATGATGATGATGATGATG